CCCCAAGTTGGAGGTGAGGTCTTCACACCCAACTTGCTCAATATCGTAGAATGCTTGACACCAGTGAGGGATTTAGTGAGGACATCTACTAACTGAGCGCCAGTATCAACATGATGGAGAGAAATCAACTTTTCTTGGAGCTTATCTCGCACAAAATGGCAATTGACCTCGATATGTTTTGTATGTTAATGGAAAACATGATTACGAGCTATGTGTAAGGCAGATTGACTATCACAAAATGCTAAGACTGGTTTAGGATAAGGAATAGTGAACTCATCAAGTAGTCTGCACAACCAAGTTAGCTCTCCAACAACCTTTCTTAAGGACCTATACTCTATTTCTGCTGAGGATAAAGACACTGTTTCCTATTTCTTGGATTTTCAACAGATTGGACTATTGCCTAGCAGGACTATATATCCAGTGACTAACCTCCTAGAATCTGGGAAAGCAGCCCAGTCTGAATCACAATAACCCTTTAGGCTACAATCAGAATCATTTGATAGAAAAATTCCTAGAGTTGGATCATTCTTCAGATACCTAACTAAGTAGAAAGCTGCTTTCAAATGTGGCTCCCTGGGGTCTTGCATAAACTGGCTAAGATGTTGCATACTGAAGGCTATGTCCAGTCTGGTATTGGTGAGGAAATTCAACTTTCCCACCAGTTTCGTGTAGTAGGTAGGATCTCGCAAAGATGCTCCTTCTTTGGCTCTCAACTTTTCATTTGGATTAAGGGGAGTAGAGAGGCTGTTGTACGAAAGACAATCATATTATTTGAGTAAGTCTAGTGCAAACTTCTTTTGAGATATTATCATACCATCACCTGTGTAAAGAACCTCCAAACCAAGGAAGTAATGCAGCTTTCTCGGGTCTTTTATCTTAAATTGACCATGTAAGAAACATTTGAGTTGTGTGATTTATGAAGGATCTATTCCAGTGTTGATAACATCATCTACATATACAGCTACATAGAGGGGGTAGAATGCTCTATTTTCTTGTAAAAGAGTGAGTAATCATTGAGAGATTATATATAGTCCTTTGCATAAAGAGCCTCAGTCAACTGGAGTACCACTGTCTGCTTGCATGTTTGAGATCATATAAGGACTTGTTCAACTTGCACACTAATCCTAGAGAGTTGATCTCTAGTCCTGGTGACATTTGCATGTATACTTCCTCATGGAGGTCTCCATGAATAAATACATTGTTCACATCTAACTGAGAGATATGCCAGTGCTTCTTTATTGTTGTAGCTATAAGGGCTCTCACTGTTATCATTTTTACCACAGGACTGAAGGTTTCTATGTAGTTTATGTCAGGTTGCTGAGTATACCCTTTTTCTACTAGCCAAGCTTTGAACCTCTCTACTATTCCATCAGCTTTGTGCTTTATCTTATATACCCACCTGCAGCTAATGGCATGCTTGCCACTTGGCAGGGGCACTCCATCCCAGGTATGATTTGCATGTAGGGCTTCAAACTTCTGTGTCATTGTTGCTTACCAAGCAAGGTTAAGGGAAGCTTCCTCATATGAAGATGTTTAAAATTATTGCAGACATTTATTACAAATAACTGAATCATGGAGTAAATGATTAATATAAATATGACTATTTAATGAAAATAAAGCACAAAGGGAAGTAGAAGTGGCTAGTGGATCAGTAGGTAGAGAAGTAGAGGCTATTTTAAACTGAGGTATGGAATATACATAGTCATGCAGATGAGCAGGTAATTTGTGTTCTCTGCCAGACCTACTGGGCTCTAAAATAGGTGAATCATTTTGTGGAATGGGCTCAAATAAATTTTGTGGAAGGATCTCAGGGGAATAAGAGTGTGGTGTCTCTGAAAAAAAAGAGTGTGTAAAGTGATCACGTGAATGTTGATCATGTTTAACTCCAGGGCTGTCTGGACTTAGTGAATTGCCTGGTGTGGGCTGAGATGCAGCAGTGTGTAAATCAGAGATGAAAGGTAGTGAGTGAAGAGTTGAGGGAAAAGAACCTGCAACAGATGACACGTCAAAGGAAAATACATTCTCATGGAAGGTTACATCTCTAGATATGTGAATCTTTCTAATTTGCAAGTTCAGTACCTTGTATCCCTTGGTTTCAAAGGGGTATCCAACAAAGACATGAGGTACAGTTCTGGGATCAAGTTTTTCCCTGTGTATTCTTGGTTTAGTGGGGAAACACAGGTACCCAAAACTTTTCAAATGGGAATAGTTTGATTTCTTTTTGTATAGAAGTTCAAAGGGGCATTTGTTTTTGATATGTGGTAGGCAGACTGTTAATGAGGTAAGTGGTTGTTAAGATGCATTCACCCTAATAACAGTTAACTTTTATTGAAGGGCCTTCAGTAGACAACAAGTATCAGCAAAGGCTATCAAAGATTTAAGTTGCGCAGTTAAAGAAGATATAGAGATGAGATTAAATTTGAAAGAAGGAACAAACATGATTTTGTATATAGTGATTTAGGGAGCAAGGTACACACTACCAATTTCTGTTACTTTCACTTTATAGCCATTTAGGAGAGTGACTAACAAGGGATAGGGTAAGATTCTAATATCAACTAATGAAGACTTATTAAAAGTCATATGATTTGAAGCTCCTGAATCTAAAATCCATGTGTCAGTCCATGTTCTTCTACAAGATAAATTGCCAAAATCAATAGAGGATGTGCAAGTTATCATACCTGCAAAATTCATAGTTCCTGTTGCAAGATTTACTGATTCAGCTCCATGGTTTGCATTCTGTGAACTCTCTCCTCCACTGCTGGTAAGGCTGGTCAACGGGTCGAGTCCGGGCCTAAACGGGCCTCATGGGCCGGACCTATATGGGCCCGAGCTTCGTGGGCTATTGGTAGGAACCAGACCGGGACTGGGACCATGAACTAATGGTCCCGGATTAAGTGGGCCGGTCCCGGGCCTATGTGGGCCTTAGTGGGCCTAGCTTATATTTTTTTTAAAAAAATTATCTAAGTCAATTTCTTGTAAATTATATTATATAGTTGTGACTTAAAATTTTTTAATTCAAATTTAAAACA